ATATTGAGTTCTGTACTATTTAACTTATACATTTTTTTAATATATTTTAGTTACTTTCTCTCACAGATTTCTAATTTTATTTTAGGAAAAACATAATATGGAGTGATTAAATTACCTAATCTCACCTTTACTTTGTGATTTACACAGTTTTCAGTGTTAAATGTTTACAGTGTACTTGAGTAAAATATTTATTCTTCAGTGTTTAAGTGAAAGATCTCTAGGATTTGGTGGGAAAGCTTTGATATTTTATCATTGCTCAACTTTTCTACTTTGCTCTGATTGTTATTCAAAGTGAAATGTTAGAGTTTTATTTTCAAGTGATATATTCCACAACACATTAAATTAAAATTATTTGATAAAATTGCTTTCAAAACTACATAGTTTTACTGTCTTTTAAAATTACACAATCATCTTCACAGCTATTTTTTGTTTTTAACATGCAGTGAGTTACAATTTGCAATTGTTTGCTTATAGTATGTAGAAAACTACCTACAGTAAATACTGATAATAAATTCAGTTTTTTGATATGTGTTGCAACAGTTCAATCTTCCTCTCTCTCTCTCTCTCTCTCTCTCTCTCACACACACACACACACACACACACACACACACACATGCATACATGTAAGATTTTGAAGATAGCATTACTGGATTACTGAATAAAATTATTGATTGAGAGGTTTAATAATACATTATTTGTATGAAAATTTCACTGTTAGTTTTCCAACCATTTCCTTGTATGTAATATGAGCTTCCCATTGCTTTTAAAGTTTTCCTATTTTTCTAGGGTTTTGACTATTATGTTTGCTTCTTCATTTATTTTTAAATACATATTTCTTCTTTTACATATTTTCTTCTGAATCATCACCTAGGACTTCCAATGTTTATAAAGTTTATGGACATCAACAGGAGCTTCTGCTTCCATAAGGCATAGAATAATCTGATGAAATTGCCTGTGTATTTTGAAAACTAAATAGAAACTATTTTAAATTATTGAAAATAAAAGCAATTGACAAATTAGTTACACTTTATTACACTTTATTTAGCAGCAAGTTTACTAACAATGCAATTTTACAATCTAACTAAATTTACACATACTTACTTTAGCAATAATAATGCATATAGTAGCAATAATAAAAAAGTGGGATGGTAGTTGAAATTAAAATACTTTATTCATATATAATATAATGCCGGTAGTGGTGGCGCACACCGGTAGGATTTGCTGAAGGAGGCAGAGGCAGGAGGATCACGAGTTCGAGGCCAGCCTGGGCTACACATTTTAAAGATAAATCAAGATTATGAAAAGACTAATAGCCTTAAAGATGTTAAGGTTCTCCAAATTATTTATATTATATAAAATATACTGCTGTTTTCATAAATTTTACCCATGTTATTTAAAGAACTGTCATGGAGGCTGGCACTTTGTATTCTATTTTTGTCGGAGAACATCAAATAGACAATAATAGCACAGTTTCATACAGAAGCACATGGTAAAAGGAAATGCTCTGAGACATATCAAGACTTTTTATGATACATTCACTCTTAGAAAAGATGCCACTAAAAAAAAAAATAAATAAATAAAAAAAAAGAAAAGATGCCACTGATGGAAGATTTAAAAAATAAGATGGTAGAAATACAATAACATGCAGATTCCTGAAGGGATATGAGCCCATGTACTTGTTTTGTGAGAGACTATTCAGGATCATTGGGCAAAGGAGAGCTTAGACTGTAACTTGAAGGAAGTTAATTGTCATCGTGGAAGAAGTCAATTCCGTATGATAGTTCAAGCCAGAATATGAGCACCACCCAAAATATCCTTTGATTTTAAAATGTACATATGTTTAAATTACCAACTATAAGCGACAATTATAGGATTAAAGTTAAAATTTTAATGAAATAAAAATTCAACATATACTTACCAAAAAAAGCAAGAAATCTTGAAATGTATAATTTTGAATATTTACTGTGCATGTATCGGTATATTAGCTTTAAGTGCATGAAACTCTTCTTTTATAGATTTAATATATTCTATAATGATGATTTCATTTAGTTAACTAAATATAAACTTAGTTAAATCAATAATACATGCAAATACATTTTTCTTTTTTTAAAAAAAAAAAAAGAAAGGGAGTTACTTAATGTTGCCTGGGGCTGACAGGTAAGAACCTAGTACAATGATTCTAGTACTTCTTCTATACAATAATTTCATGGATGTGGAAAGAGCAACACAAATGTAAAATCAATGATTAGTACAGAAATGCAATTAAGAGTGCAGTATTAGAGTCTCCCATGTTTTACAGTCACCACTTTTGTTAGATTTTCGAGAGTAGCTTAGACAGATAACACCAGACCAAAGGGTTCCACGAAGGGAGTTTCATTAAGGGTGGAGGGTAAAGGAGGGGAGAGAAACAAGAAGAATGACAGAGAGAAGAGAGAAGTGGAGAAGAGAGAAGTGGAGGCCGGCCATGATCACGTGGAGAGAGGGGGAAGGGAAGTGGGGAGGGGAGTGGGGGCAGAGAACCTGCCAGCAGAGAGATCAAGGGAGCAAGAGAGAGGTGTGGGGCAGGTCTACCCAGTTGTTGCTAGGTAACTGTGGGGAGGAGCATACCTGGTTTCTGCCAAGTAACTGTGGAGGTAGAGTTTAGACAGACTACTAACAACTTTGTTCTGTAACAAGTAACAGTCCTGCTGCAATTTCTAAATTATCACTGTAGATTACTTTAAAACGAGAATTTACAGCAATACTTTTTCATATAAACAATGTCAGTCGCCAAAAGAAAAAACCTCATTACAGTTTTATTAATTCTGTACCATGAAAAAAAACCATTTGTATCTCATGTTTTGAACTAAAGGACACAAAGCAATCTAACAAATGTTCCCTGTGCTAATTAACTGGATGCAGATTTGCCATGACATTCTGAAGATAAAACACAATCATGGATTCTGTATCTATGTTCAAATGATGTTGCCCTGCTTTAAGCTAGCTGATATTTCCTTCTAGGTCATGAGAAAAATGTTACTGGATCATTTTGTATATTGCTGCTTAACCCTTCTAGAAGACCTTATTTTTGCTGTGTAAATTGCTAAATAATGAGGCACAACCAAAAGGAATTCTGAAAAAAAAATAATTGAATCAGAGTGCCTTTTCTTTTTGACTACTTCCTAGTAAAGCATTATAAGCCTGTTTATATCTTAACCAATGTAAATTAGATGTAATTATACACCTATTTTCGAGAATGATTTCTATTTTCTACACAATTCTAAGAGAGGTTATTATATGGCAGGATTTGACATATTAAGTCATTTGAGTAGAATATTTGTCCGTTTATTTAAATGGTTTGGAAGTCAGTAGGACACTGATGACCAGAAATTAGAGAGCTTTGAAATCATAGATGATGTCATTTATTGAGAATAATGACTTAACCCAGTATTCTGATGTCTGTGAGTTTGTCAATATCGGAAATATCTCCTAATTGAAATAGTCACATTTTTCAAATAATATTAGTTCAGTAAGTACTCTTTTTTTTGTTGGTCTAAAATACTATAGTGAGACAATCAGGGTTCCCATTTTAAGTATTTATGTGTCTTTTATTGATTAAAATTAATGGACAGATTAAAATATGCATAATGTGACTGTCATTCTTCTGGGAATGATGAATGACTAAAGTTCATTAGTAGGTTGAAATTATAAAAACTATAGGGCCAGTGTGGGACCAGTCACTTGTCATGGACTAATTTTAGTTCAGACTTAAATTACAGCATCTCATATTACCTAACTGTTGATAGATATGACTTTGCATACACAATGTAAATTTTTCTATAACTAATGCAAAATGAAATTCCTTCTTCTACATCTCTTGTTCTTATTCATATAACAAGCATACATAAACGAGTCTACAGAAACTTAAAATTTACGATCTATCTCTTCCAATTGGCAGCAATTTGTTTTCTGTTATCTCAAGATAAATGCTTCAGGAAATTCTGACTTTTTTTTTTTAGGTAGATAGTAGTCAATAAACTTAGCTTTTAATATTCATATTTCATCCAGTCTGTCTTTCAATACCTAGCATCTCAAATAGACATTGTCTATATGGTAATGTTCTCTCTAGTTAGATCCTGTGATTACTTAATAAACTTACACAAGGAACAAGCAAGACAATTAACACAAATATTCTAAGAACAAGCAAGGCAATAAACAAAGTCCTGTGATCACTCCACTGATCACTGTTTCTAAGGGCTTGTCAGGATTACCAAAATATCTGAGCCTATTTTCCTATCCTAGACCAAAGTCATTTTCAAGCTTGAAGCCTACTTCTTTGTTCTAGCCAAAGATTTAGATTCCTGCCTGAAATTATTTCTTTGTTCTAGCCTATTGTCAGATTCTTGCCTGAAGCCCATTTCCTTGTCCCGGGCCAATGCCAGATTTCTGTCATTTGTGTTTATTGTTTTGCTTTTCCTTGACTCTTTGCATCTAATGTATTGCTAGTTCCTCAGCCTACAACTGACCTTAATACATGCATGTAATTAGAACGGTATAAAAGCAGATTGGGAAAAAAATAAAGATGTATTTTTACATCTATCCTTGAAATTTATTTAAAATTATAAATGCTGCATTTCTTGTTAAATTGTTAAATCATTACAATTAGAATACACTATCATTCTACCAAAAAAAAAGTACACATGGATTTATGGGAGATGGTATAATATGTGTATTCTGAAAATACCCTTGAAGATTATTTTTATAAATCTCTTTTGCATTTACAAGGATATATAAGCTCTCAACATTTTCTTACTGGCTCCCTTTCATACATCCTCTTTTGCTGTGAATATTTGGTTTCTCTCAATTGATAATGTTGGAATAGAATGTGCAGGAGCTGTAATTATTCCTTTGTATTTGGAAGTAGTTTAAGGTTCACGAGGATGTGTCAACTAGAAAAACAAGTATTACTTGCATATACATTTTGAGTTGATGGAAATAATTGTCATTTTCAATTTTCCTAGATAACTCCCTGAGCATTCTGGCAAAACATAATGGATTCAACCGCCAGAAGCAAGAAGTCTACCTTCTGCCTATAGTCATCAGTGACAGCGGGAACCCTCCTCTGAGTAGCACCAGTACCCTGACCATCCGAGTCTGTGGCTGTAGCAATGATGGCGTGGTCCAGTCATGCAATGTTGAAGCTTATGTCCTTCCTATTGGACTCAGTATGGGCGCCTTAATTGCTATATTAGCATGCATCATTTTGCTGCTCGGTGAGTAGCACCACCTTCATAGCCTACTGCTGTAAGTGACCATAAATAACAGTAGTAAAATCTAACCTGTAATGTAATCAACATTATGATAAAGTGAGAAAGGATTATGCAAACTCTGTCCAGGTTGAGAGGATTTCAGGTGCCTTGTTCAAACCCATCACCAGGGAGAATACAAACGATGTAAGAGGCAAAATGACAAGGAGGTAAGGAATGAGACTCTACATCCATCCGAACACCTATTACAGAAGGCAGCCTCCAAACCACATCTTGCACACAAATTTAATGCAAGAGGTAATTTTTCTGTGTTTTATTACCATGGATGATAAATAAGACATGGACTGGGTCATTGCATCATCAGATCTCAGAGTTTAGTGAGATATACATAGAATATGTAAGCTTATAAACATATGCTCTCCTTAAAATCATCGTATAGATAATTTGGTTGATACTAAGGTAAAATTAAAATAAAGGATGCAAATTAAGAGGTAAGTTTTTATTACTTTTCTATTTAAAGTGCTCATTTTTAAAACAAGACTAAGCACAGTGAACGTAGTGAAAGCATCTCTGTAGTCCAGTACTTAGGAGAAAGGGAAGGATCTACAAGCATTAGATTCAGGTTTAGTTGGTCCTACCAGCAGCAGTATTATTGCAAAAAGAGTTCTTCAAGTACCATACTCACTAGATGGAAGCAATGGAGATAGAAACCAAGGAAGTTGAATAGTTCACATAATGTACTTAATGTGTCTACCATGCTGCAGATGCTATTTTCTCTTTTGTAGGGCTCACCTTGGAGCTGATTTCAGTTTATATGTATTTTACACCACAAAAACAGATGTTTATTAAATGAAACTGCTTTTGAGTGATCTGGACAAGAAATTTAGTTTTTATCAATCAGATAACTCTTTAGGCTAATTGGCTATTAAAGAGTTTAAAAGCCTGGGTGTCAGCATGACTGAACACTCTAAAGCAGTAGTTCTCAGCCAGTGGTAGCAGCCCCTTTGGGATTTGAACAACTCTTTCACTGGGAATTCCTAAGACCATTGGAAACACAGATATGTGTATTATGATACATAATAACATCAAATATAGTTATGTAGTGGCAATGAAAATACTTCTATGGTTGGGGAACATAAGGAATTATATTTATATGAGGGGTTGGCCATCCTGAAATTGGATGAACACAGTCACCAAATTTTTAGCATAATGTTGATTACTAGGTAGGGGCAAGGTGGTGGGGTGTAAGTAAAGTCACCAAAAACCCCAAGCAAGCACAAGTAAGAAAGCAAAAGAAGGTGTTTCTACAGGAGCAGGTTTTTAAGGAGAAAAATGAGGAGTCTATGCTAGGGTGAATGGGTAAATCTTGACTGAATATACTAAGCAAATAATGATTTTTTTTTTTAAATTTTGGACCTCAGTGTTTTATCTCAGGAATGAGTCCATGACCAAATAGTGGTAAAGACCTGGCAGGCTAGCTTACTGAATGTGAAGATTTTTTAGCAAGGAAACTGGAAAGGAGTTAAACGGCAGAACCTGTCTACAGTGTTTGCCATGCTCAGGCCTGTGTTTGCCATGCTGTGCCTGTATTTGACATGCTCGTGCTTGTTAGAGCTCCTTCAGGATTAAAGTGTTGCAGCAGTAGGAAGGTTGAGAACCACTACTCTAAAGCACCACACACAAGGTGCAAGTTGTAGAAGTCGTAAATATATTGTTTTCAAAATTCTCCTCTCCCCTGTCATCTCTTCTTCTCTGATCATGCCCGTATATGCTCATTGACTGATTGTGATCTGGTCTTTTTCTTACAGTCATTGTGGTTCTGTTTGTTACCCTGAGGCGGCATAAAAACGAACCACTAATTATCAAAGATGATGAAGACGTTCGAGAAAACATCATTCGCTATGACGACGAAGGAGGAGGGGAGGAGGACACAGAGGCTTTTGACATTGCAACTTTGCAAAACCCAGATGGAATTAATGGATTTTTACCCCGTAAGGATATTAAACCAGATTTGCAGTTTATGCCAAGGCAAGGGCTTGCTCCAGTTCCAAATGGTGTTGATGTCGATGAATTTATAAATGTAAGGCTGCATGAGGCAGATAATGACCCCACAGCCCCACCATATGACTCCATACAGATTTATGGCTATGAAGGCCGAGGGTCTGTGGCTGGCTCCCTCAGCTCCTTGGAGTCCACCACATCAGACTCAGACCAGAATTTTGACTACCTCAGTGACTGGGGTCCCCGCTTTAAGAGACTGGGCGAACTCTACTCTGTTGGTGAAAGTGACAAAGAAACTTGACAGTGGATTATATAAATAATCAATGGAACTGAGCATTCTGTAATATTCTATCTAGGGTCACTCCCCTTAGATGCAACAAATGTGGCTATTTGTTTTAGAGGCAAGTTTAGCACCAATCATCTATAAACTCAACCACATTTTAATGTTGAACCAAAAAAAATAATAAAAATAAAAAGTATATGTTAGGAGGTGATAAATTTTGTCGAGTGTGAATTAAGTATGTGGAGTGTCTAGAAGTGTTTGGATATTTGATATTTACCTGACGGCCACAGTCAGAGATTGGGATCCTAGCTAATCCTTAGAGAATTGTTTAAGAGGAGAAAAACAAAACAAACTTAAAAGGTGCTTTATTAGAAAAAAAATGGACTTGCAAGGACTCTGCTGCTGATATGTGTCTTCTGTAAGGATTCTTATGAGTGCAAATGGTTTTTATTCCCTTCACCAATAAGGATCCCGTCACAAATGATAAAGCAATACTTTGGTCTGCTGTACATTATGACTTTATGGAGTTTGGGAAGGTCTCCTAGATTATATGGTACGGTGACCATACGTTGTACATAATTGTTGGCCCCACTTAACAGAGACTGAATAGCATCTTTAAATATTGTGTCGAGCCTTAAAATATTCACATGTTCGTAATCCATTCCAGGGTGGGGATTGCCAACTCAAAGGTGGGAGGAGAGAAATGCCATTCAAACAGGCTGTGTCTAGAAGCAGGATTCTTCGTTCCCTCCACTTCATCTTCTTCCACAAGGACACAGAGATAAACTGTATTCCACAGTGGACCACATCAGAGACAGATGGTTTTATTGCTAGCGTGTGAATTTATTTGTTTAATCCTCAAAATAAATATTTTATTGATGTCCAATAATGCTTTTATTTATTAAGGTTGGTAATCTATAGATTAAGGGATTATATGGGGAAAACTAAATTATATCCATTAATAATCCTTTAGATTGTTTTATATTAATATCTATACAATGAATGTTTAATACATGTACATTTTGATGAGATAAGTATGGCAGGCAATATTATCAAGGGGAGAGGTAATAGTCTCTTTAGAGTAGAAAGTGTAATTGTGACTGGTGATTACAGAAACAGCATTTCCCAGAGAAACTTTTGGACTATTTTCTATTTTATTCATAATCCTAGTATTTGGTGTTTTTACTACAAGCACAAACATCTGGAAGTATATTGATTCCTGTGAATATTTAAACGCTAGACTTTTAGATACCTACATAATGCCCCACCCAATAAACACGCTTCAAGTTTTCCTCTCCCAAATAATTTAGAGCAGAAACTGATTTGTACATAATTTTACTGCTTCTGTTTTTTTTACTTCTGTCCCTGGTTATGGTGATGCGCAGAACGTCTTAGACTACAAAAGCAGAACAGCACTAGAAGATGTGAGCATATTTAATTTGTAATGCAAACCTGCCATGTAGGAGTAGAAATGTATGATAAAACTCAAGTATTACATGCAGATCATTTTACTTTTCTACTTTGCTTTAATGCAATATTGTTTATTTACTCCATGTGTTGTATTCAGAGAAACTCCTGTATTGTTTCCTACTTTGTGAAATATATTTTTATAAATACCTTTGTTGTCATCATTTTTTTCCAGCTACATGAAGATTTCTGAGCAGATCTATTGACTCTAACTAAAATTCTAAACTGTGCAATCAAATCATACTGTGGGCCACTTTTAGTTTTAAACATCTTTATTATAATAAAGAACCAGAGAACAGAAATGAATTGCTATTGATCCTATACCAAGAAAACATCAAGGACATAAAAGTAAATGCCATACCTAAAAGACAGTCAAGTGTGTTTGGGGGTCCCTAAATACAGAAGAGTCTAGGGTGGAGGTAGCAAAAGAAGATACAAGATCAAGAGGAAGATTCTGCATAGGAAATGTCCATAGTTAGATTACAATCCAAAAATGTGGTAAAATAAAGGGATTGAAGTTTTGGAGAAAGAACCTAAAGTACACTGCAGACACGAAAACCATTCTTTTCTAGATCTTTAGAGTATCCATTAGAGCAAGACCCATGGGCTCCTGTCATCTGCCACTTCAGTCCCTAGCTTGAGGATCCCACAGGAAAGCATGGATTTAGCTTAGAGATGGAAAGCAACAGTTTCTGGAAACTGTCTTCAGCATATCAGAATCAAAGTGGCTAAATATTCAACTAAAAATTTAATAGCTATTCATTAGCTTACCATTTCCTCATTATTCACTATTGCTTGATCATAATCCTTCATTTATGATTCTCTCAGTGGCTGCTGAACACTTTTCATGAAGTCAAAGGGAAAGTCCATAGTGACTTTTACATACATCAGATTAGCAAGCATCCAAAAAACTATTATTATAACTTATAGTAACAATAAAAATCCAAATCCTAACTCTCTTGTACATTATAAAACAAGGTGAAATTAATTTTTCTTTTACATTTGCACTTCAAACTCAACTCTCTTTACTTTAAAGGAAAGTACTGCACAAGACATTTGTAGCAGATATACCACACTATTCTTTTTATAGCATTATATAAAATCAACCCTCAGGGTTGATGGTCAATAGGATAATAGGATAGTGTTCATGGGACAGAGGCAATTTAGGACCAGTTTTCTAATCAACCTTTGAATTTTGCTTTGTCCAGAAAGACATCTTGGATACATGAGCCCCCAAATAACATTTCTTTCCACAACTATCCAAGTTTTTTGTACATCGAAGCTAATTTGAAGTTTTGATATGTTGGAGAAAGTAGTGCTATGTATAATTATGTAGGGATAATATGTTTTTGCTATGTGAAATACATTTTAGATTGCCATGAATTTAAATTATACTCAAGAAGGCTCATGTACAAACCATTAGACTATCACATTTACTTTACCAACAAAATTATTAGAACTCTCACATTCAGAATAGGAAATCCAAATTGTTTTATTTTTGAGATTGAGTGACTTCTCCCCTAACCCTCTTCAAGCATTGCATTTTATGTTTGTTAAAATTTTGTATTGATGCGATTATTTTGTTCTTGCAATGTTGACCCATCAGATGAATCTTCGCATACACATGAGTGGTGAATTATCAAATATAATACTGCCACATGCTACAGTCATTACTTTGTCTGTGGTCTTTGTGTATTCCAAAGACAACTCTCTATTAATGTCTGCTCAAGAGTTCTGTGCCAAGTGATAGGTGAAACAAAGTTAGTCTCCTTCTGCTTACTTTACTGTAAGGCTCTTTTCTGAGAGATTGAGGCATCCATGCATGCGTGGAAGCCACTTGGGATCAACTCAGGCTCTACCTTCTGTATTATCTGATCAAACATTTTTTTAATATTTTTAATATCCACATAAACATATCTAATATTAGTAAGCCATTTTTAATAAAATTCTAACTATCAGTGCAGTCAATACATATTTAAAATGGTTTATGATATGATGGTTGAATCATATTCATGTGGTGCCTTTCCTACCCCAAATTGTGCTGTCTATGACATAAACTTTACAGCAAAAATGTTTTGTACCAAAAAAATAAAAATAGGTAAGTGTGTATATGCATATATAACCTGAAAGGAAACTTGGATGCATCAGTATACCCAGTGAGGCAAGAATTCTCAGAAAGAGACAAAAGTGTCTTTGAGAGTTTGCTTAATCATATGCTTAAAGTAAGACAAGTCTCTGCATGAGATGTAGAAATCTCCCAGGAGCAGCCGGCTCCACACTGAGAATTCACAGAGGGCTGAGCTATCTGTATTTTGGAGAAGGAAAGCGGGTGCTGAGAGCTAAGTAGCCAATTACTTTTTATAGCCACATAAGGACTGGAGGCAAGTAGTCCTTTGCAACATGTTGTATTATGCGATCGTTGGCTTTGCAGGGAATCTCACGAATGTATAACCTTCTGATTGCCTTTTTGATTGAAAGTTCCATCTGAGATCAAGGCAGTGCAACCAGTAATAAGATTTCAAAAAATCCCATCACTGGCACTGTTGGAAAGGTTGAGCGTGCCTGAAATCCCATCACTGTCAGTCAAAGAGATAAGGTAACAGTGGGCATCACTATAAAAGCTGCATGAATGCACAATTTAAACATGAACATCAACACGAAAAGAATGCACACACATTCATATGAATGCCCATATATATACATATGCCCATGTAGACACATACGTATACAAATACATGCACATGCACACACACACACACACACACACACATACTTAAGTTACTTGGTATAATTTATACTAATATGTTGTCATTTCAATAATATTTTTTCATATCACAGTCTCGCATACTACAAAAATACTTGAAATGATGGTAATTTGTTTCTCTGACTCTAACCTAGAAGTTGAAACCAATCTGTCTAGTGGTAAAGGTTTTTACATGTGAATTTTTGTCTATGAACATAATAACAGCTTATAAAGCCCAGGCTTAGAATTAAATGCATCTCACCAAGAAGCTGGATTTAGATGCTTTTGTATCATTGTATTTTTGTGGAGATAATAATTGTAGAATATATTTTGTAGGAAATAATTTTCTCTATGTTTACATTTCTTTGATTCAACACAGTTTCCTTTGCTAAACAAACTCCTTTTCTTTGTTGCTCAGATGACCAAAAAGTGAATAAAATGTTTACTATCATCGTTGTTCTTGTTTATGATAATTATCATGTCGTCATTATCTACCATTAAAGCAGATATTTATTTTAATCCTTTTTTGTGTAGTTGGCACACAGTTATTGATCAGAGTATATCCTTAGTATTTACAGTAACCCAGTACTGTTGTCTTGGACGTACTTCCAAAATTCCAGAGCACATGGAGTTAGAATTTCTACTGTTTCTTTAAGAAATGTGTCTATTACATTTAATGAACCTCTACCAGATTTGAAATTAAGCTACATAGCATTTGTGGAAAATGTGATGGTTTTTTCAACGTTTTTCACTGTGTACAAAGTGAAGTTAATTGAGCATATTTAAGCTAATCAATGGAACATTATTT